TATTAAATATATTAAATAAATAATATATTAAATATATTAAATAAATAATATTATTAAATATATTATATAAATAATATTATTAAATATATTAAATAATAATATATTAAATAAATATATTAAATAAACATATATAATACAAAAACGGTTTTAGAAAAGAGGGAAGAAAATGAAAAAGAAAAAAAAAGTGAAATTCGTTTTTCAGAAAACAGAAAACGAAAACAAGAAAATGAAAACACCTTTTTTTCGTTTTCTGATTTTCACAAAAAGACAAAAACGTTTTTGGTTTTGTTTTTTAAAAAAAATTGCACCAAACATGTTTTTAACACCCGTTTTAATTTTTTTGCTTTGAAAACCGTGAAAAACAAAAACGAAAACGCAAACAAACGGGCCCAATAAGTGGTATTTATTGTTCGTGGTGTAAAATACATGAAATTTGTCATTGACAAAAAGAGCATCCTTCAAGTTTATTTATTTATTTTTGGCGCCAATATCACTAAGCTTAAACTGGCTGGATAGTTAAGCATTCTATCCTATGTACTGGAGATATTTCAAATCTACTTAAACATAAGTTCGTTCTTTCTACTTGGTTTGACTATTCTTCTTAGCAATTTTCTAATTTAAAAAAAAAAATGAAACAAAATGGAAGAAATAGTTAGGTCTTGTTTATTTTACTTATTTAAATTTTTATTTTTAATTTTGTTACAGTTAAAAATTCTTAAAAAAAGTTACTATCTAATTTTTTTTACTATAATTAAAAATTCTCAAAAACAATCACACTTAATTTTTTTTATTATAATTAAAAATTCACTATTATATAAAGTCACATCTTAACTTAAATTGAAATCTCAAATCATAAAACTGATGGAGGCTTAAAAGCAATCCTCCAAACTCACTGTAGAATCAGAGAACGAATTTCTCGATCAAACATCCTCTTATTGTTGGCATCGAAAATACGTCAAAGCAAAGCAATTGACTCTTGAAGCTCCTCCATCCAATTATCGTACAGACGAAAAAGTCAACTAAATCAGTAGACCTCTTTTCCATCTACACTTGTTAAAAATTTCCGAACAGCTTTTCTTCACTCCAATAGCATACACATTAATCAAAGGGCAGTGAGAGATATCAGAGAGAGTGGAAAAAAAAAAAAATGATACTTCCGTCAAATATTAACATTCCAACAACAGAGGACAGGAGAGATGAGCTTGATGAAGAGCCAGGCGGAAGAAGAAAAGGCACGTGGAAGCACGCCGCTTTCCACGTCGCCACCACCGTCGCCACCCCCGCCGCTTACGCTCCTTTGCCCTTCGCTCTCGCTTCTCTCGGTTGGCCTCTCGGCAAGTTTCCTTCTCCTTTTACTTACCATATTGTTGTTGTAAACCCCCCACTTTTATTTGCTGTTTCGACTCTGTTTTCTTTTATTACATATAAAAGGGATGTGAAGTTTTGGCAACGCAAAAATTGTAGGAGCGAGTAGTTTGGTGGGTGCAACGCTCGCGACGTGGTATTCTAGTCTTCTGATCGCCTCTCTTTGGAAATGGGACGGAAATAAGCACGTTACCTATCGGAATCTTGCTCAAAGCCTTTTCGGTGATTAATTGGTCCTTATTTATCTCTTCAAACATCTACTTAAATATATTCCTATTTTCCTTTTTTTGTTTTGGATGATCTTTTTGTACTCGGACTATTTCCCAAATCCAATTTCTTTAAAATTCCAATTGGTGTGACATATAAATTGTGATCGATCAATATTAAAAAGTTATAATATTAGTACTTTTGGCTGCAAGATTCTCCTAATTAGTACCTTTCATAGTCTCTAGATTATAGCTATATATATATATATATGCAAGAACGTTATTTTCTCTCATCAATCCTTTATAGTCAACGATTTTCCTGTATTGTTTATGGAGCATCATGACGAAGTTGTTTGTTTCTTGTTCTTGAAGGAATTTGGGGTTACCGGTCAATTGCATTTTTTCAGCAGGTGGCTTCTTTGGGCAATAACATTGCCATTCATATTGCTGCTGGGACTAGCCTCAAGGTTATCAACCTCAGAATTTGTTGTCCATTGTACTTGTAGTGCCAAAAACATTCTTTTTTTTTCTTTTGTCTCTTCTACAAATGGGGTAGTTATGTAAAAAACTCACTTCTTGTACTGCAGGCAGTTTACAAATATTACGACAGTGATGGGACCTTGACCTTGCAGCACTTTATCATCTTCTTCGGCGCTTTGGAGCTCTTTCTCTCTCAGCTCCCTGATATTCATTCATTGAGATGGGTAAATGGATTGTGCACTTTTAGTACTGTTGGTTTTGCTGCTACAACTATTGGTGTCACAATATATAATGGTATATATGGGCCCTGGATACTTTCTATTATAATTCTGCTTTGTGTATTAATTGAGTTTGTTTCTCTCATCAAATTTCTTTCTTTTCATTTCTTAATTTTCCATGCCACTTCAGGAAAAAAGATCGATAGAAAATCAGTCAGTTATAGTTTGCATGGAAGCCCATCTGCTAAAATATTTGGAGCCTTTAATGCGCTCGGCACAATCGCCTTTTCGTTCGGAGATGCAATGCTTCCAGAGATTCAAGTTAGCATAGCCTTTAGTTTTTCCATTCAAATTTCCTCACTAAATTTCCCCATATAGGTTTCGAAGAAAGCTTTTTTTTTTTTTTTCTTTTTGGTCTAGTTTTAGATTTCTACCTTTTTGGGAAATAGTTCATATAGTAATGAATATAAATGAACATTTTGTTTAACCAGAACACAGTAAGAGAGCCTGCAAGGAAGAATATGTACAAAGGTGTGTCAGCAGCATATGGGGTCATTGTGCTGAGTTACTGGCAATTAGCCTTCTGTGGATATTGGGCTTTTGGTTCTGAAGTTAAGCCTTATATTGTGGCCTCCCTGAGTGATCCAAAATGGACTATTGTTATGGCAAATCTCTTTGCTGTCATTCAAATATCGGGTTGCTTTCAGGTAAACTCACCCCAACAAAATTTTCTCAACATGTGACGGTTTTGCATGACAAAATGTTCATAACTTGACTGTGCAAGTTTCTTGTGAAGATTGAAAACTAACTCCAAATCCATATTCATTGTCCATGTTCATGAAATTCTTATGTGTCAGAACTCTCTTTGTTTAGATCTATTGCAGGCCAACATATGCCTACTTTGAAGAAACAATGTCAAGCAAGAAAAGCGGGAGCCATTCGCAGCTCGAAAACATGCTAGTTCGTCTCGTCTTCACTACCATTTACATGGTCCTCATAACCTTGATAGCCGCAGCCATGCCATTCTTTGGGGACTTTGTGTCCATCTGTGGGGCTATTGGGTTCACTCCTCTGGACTTTGTTTTCCCTGCTTTGGCATATCTGAAAGCCAGAAGAGAACTCCAAAACACAAGGCTTCAACTTTGTTTGAAGCTCCTTAACTTTGCAATAGTTGGTTTGTTCTCGGTTGTTGCAGTGTTGGGTTGCATTGGGGCAATCAGGTTTATCATAGAAGACATCAAGACTTACAAGTTCTTTCATGATATGTGAGACCCTTTTACTTTGTTTTTAATTTTCGTTTTTGTACATTTCAACCATACATAAGCAAGAAATTGATATTAGTGTGATCCGTTTAAATTTTTTGTTCAAACTTATGAAACAAACCGACAGGAAAATCAAAAACCTCCAATTGGAAGTGGAATACATCGGATTGTGTTTCAAGTTGGGAGACATACATGTACTTTTCTCTTTATTATTTTTAATCTTGGAGGGCCATATTTGATTATGCGAAATAGTAAAATCAACACTATTGTTTTTAGTGTCATTTTCATATTATTCACTGCTATTTCTCTTATGTTGTTTTGTAATTACTGTCCTTTAAAACTGATATTGTTATCTCATTGTTTTTTCTTTTTTTGGGTAGGTAAAGCAATGTCGTTTTCAAGGGATGTTATGTTTTTGTAATTACAAAAATCAAAGTAGCTTAATATATTTATTTTAATTACTGTTGCTTTAAACTAATGTTTTTATTTGTTATCGTCGTCTTTTATAAGTAGTCCTACGATAGGTTAGTAAAGGCCGTTTCTAAAATCACTCTGTAGAGAAAATTTCAGGTTTATACATTCTTTAAGTACTAAAAGTATCCTTTTGAAAAACTCACCCTTGACTAGTTTTAATTTAAAATATAGAAATATATAGACTAATATTAAGGTGTATAGATAAAAGAAGGCTCCATTTTAAAGAATATTTTTAAAAATTGCCCAATCACTGTATGATCCTTATAGTTAGTTGGTTTGGTACTTGGTAACTTCTTACCCGTTGCCTTTCACAAAAAAAAAAAAAAAAAAAAAAAAACCTTCATACCCTTTATTATGTATTGTCGTTTATAATAGTAGTGTCGTTTGTTGGTAAGGTGATTTAATGTCAGTTTCTTATTCGTGTCGTTTATATAGTTCTATATGATTCTTATAGTTTTTTTTTATTATTTATATATAAGCATATATGATTCTTATAGTTAGTTGGGTTGGTACTTGATAACTTCATACCATTTATTATGTATGGTCGGTTATGATATTAGTGTCGTTTGTTGGGAAGGTTTAATGTCAGTTTCTTAATTCTTGTCGTCTATATAGCTCGTTTACTTGATGGGGTGCGTAACTTGATGGCATTTTTGTAATTCGTGTCGTTTTTAAATGATGTCGTTTGCTTCTTCTTGTCGAGTTTTCTTATCCTTGTAGTTTCTATAATTAAAGTCGTTTCTTGGTTTGGTAACATAATGTCATTTTTGTAATTACTGATTTATTATTATTATTATTGACATCGTTTGTTTGTTGTTTTGATTTTCCTTATTCTTGACGTTTATACTTCGTATAATAGTGTCGTTTATTGTTAGGTAACTTACTATCGTTTATTAAACTGAAATCATTCCTTATTTCTTGTCGTTTATTGCATGGGTAATTAATCTCGTTTTTGAAATTACTGTCTCCTTCAATTGATGTCTTTATTTGTCGTTGTCTTTTTATTTTTTTCATTGTTGTTTAGAATTAGTACTTTGGTGGGGACGTTTTCACAACTAATGTTGTTAATTATACTTTTCGCTTTTAATAAGTAGTCTGGTTCTTACGTGTGTAACCTGGTGTCGTTTTTTTTTTTTTTTTTATTACTGTCATTTTCTAATTATGTGTTTATTCCTTGTTATGGTTTTCTTATTCTTTTCGTTTCTATAATTAGTGCCGTTTATTTGTTAGATAATTTGTTCACGTTTGGTTCATAGATTCAGAATCATGATTCAGAAGTATTCTCAATTTACGTGTGTTTTTTATGAGAAAAAATACTGTAGTGAACTACGAATTATAATCTAGACCATAGTACGAATCCACCGACCAAACGTTGCAGTAAAAAAACTTAATGACGTTTCTATTTACCCAAGAAAAACTTTAATATCGTTTATGCCATTAATGTCGTTTATTCTTTGTTGTCTTCTCTTTTTCGGGTAAAAAACGTAATGTCATTTTTGCAATTAGTTTGTATTAAATACGCAGTCACAGAGTTACAGTTGTTATCGTTTTTACAGTTATTATCATTTAACAACTTAATTCGTTTGTTGACAAGCGAACTTAAATGTCATTTTCAAGTTGTCGTCTTTACGACAGTAGGTGTCATTTTTCGTTGCCGACAGGGCGACGTCTCTTTTATTCAGCTCAGGCAAATTATGAGTCCGTTTGGTTCATGGATTAGAACTATTTTCGATTTACGTGTATTTTTTATGAGAGAAAATACTGTAGCGAACCATAAATCATTATTCGAATCAGGGAATGAATTCCTCTATCAAACATCAAATAAATGAAGATCAGAGAGAACTAAAAATTCCCAAATTAAAATCAAAACAAAAAAGAAGAGAGAGAGAGAGTTAAATTCCAAAATCAATTGGAAAAGAATCTTTATATTTAGAGGGAAAAAAAAAAAAAAAACAATGGCATAGATTACTCAATGAAACCAATGGAAAAGACGGCACTTAAACGCCGTCGTTCCTATTGAATTCAACAAATATCAAACCGCGCATTGATTTCCGGTTCCCTAACAAATATCAAAGCCATTAATACTCGCAGAAAGCGCCCTCTCTTTTCTTCTCTCTCTCTCTCTCTCTCTCTCTCTCTCTCTATAGCTCTAGGGCAACTCTGCAATTTCTCTCCAATCTCTCCGGAGTCAAAGGCGAACCTCCAATGTCTTCAACGTCGCCGCCCCACTATGGCGGCTACACATTCTCACGCGCCAGCGAGTCATTCGCCACGCGCCGCCCGTGGCGCGTACTCGTCCAGCCAATCTCCTCCTTCAGCCTACCCTACTCCCTCGGAGAAGCCACAATACGCGTGAAGCGCAACCTCAACTACTTCCGCGTCAACTACGCCATGGTCGCCCTCTTCATCCTCTTCCTCAGCCTCCTATGGCACTCGATCTCCATGATCGTCTTCATCGTCGTCTTCGTCGCCTGGTTCGCCCTCTACTTCTTCCGCAGCGAACCGCTCGTCGTCTTCAACCGCACCGTCGACGATCGCCTCGTCTTGGCCGTTCTTGGCCTCGTCACGGTTGTGGCTCTGGTCCTCACGGATGTTTGGCTCAACGTGCTGGTCTCGGTCTTGATCGGCGCCGTTCTTGTTGGATTACACGCCACGATTAGGGGAACCGACGACTTGTACTCCGATGAGCCCGGAGCCGCCGAGGGAGGGTTGCTTTCGGTCGTCGGAAGTCCTACGCGTGCTGGATACGACCGGATTTAGATGTCTCCTGCCGCGAATTGCTGGTAATTAGAATTTTAGTGTAATCAGATTTTGGTTGGTGCTTCTTTTTCTATTTCGGCTCCAATTATCTCAATTTCGAGTCTTCTGCGCCAAATTTTCTGCAAGATCTTGAAGTGAAGAAGTACCTTGGGAAGATTTAGAAGATTTCTACAAGTTTGGTTTATAGCATTGTTCGATCTTGGATTTTGATTCTTTCCTTACAGTCTTTGGTTCTTCTATTAGTCTTTTTTTTCTTCGATATGTCTGTAAATGTAGAGGGATATGATTGTAGAGAAGATTTTTTTTCTTTTGTTTTTCTCAAAAGGCGAACGAGTACTACTACTCGTTTTGAAATATAGTGCAGATTATCAAGTTCTTGGAGTATTTTGATGAGCCAATTTGATTGAAAATTTGGTCTCTGTTTATCTGCTTATCTTGATTTGGGCGTTTAATTTAGGTTTTCTGATCATGCCTTGCTCGTAAACTTGGAGAAAAGACTGTACTTTAATGTGGATTGATCGGTTTTTTTATTTTATTTTTTAGTTGAACCTTTTAGATGATCATTTCTTCAGCGTCCATGAATGTCTTTGCTTGAAATGTTTATAGGTATTACTGAATGTTAGATGAGTCCCCTATATTTGGGAATGAACTTTGGACTGAGATGTATCAATGCAATGGGAAATGGGGATAGAGTTCTTCTGTTCTGACCCATGTGAGGATAAAGTCTTTCGACATTATTAAAGTAAATGTAAAAGAAAAAGGAGAGGAAAAAAAAAGTCGAGAATAATTGTTATGATGGTCCGTGCAACCACAAAATGTCCTTGGGTCACACAGTACATGTTTGAAAGACCCTAAAGCTTATTACTGGTGTTTTGATTTTATCCACATGCTTTTTTTCCCCCTTTCAGAATGCACTCATTTAAAAAAAAAAAAAAAAAAAAAAGATTTACATTAATGGTTACAATTTACCCATTTTGCATATGTTTTGTATTGTTTTTCCCTCTCTAGTTCGATTACCCTCTTTTATGAAGTTGTTTTGATATCTATTCATCTTGAAAATGGTCCAGTTTTCCAGCCATTTGAGTTACTGATTAATCTGTTCCATGACTTGCAAGCGTTCTTGTATTAGATGTTTATGCTTTTTGAGCTTGTTCTAGAGCCGTGCCAACCAAAACCAAGGCAGCCATTTGTGAAAAACAGATTGGGGTTGAAAATGTTTGTCTGTGAGTCCTGTTTTATATAAACAGACATACGGCTAGATCTAGAATTACATTATCTGATTGTTATGAACTATCCTGCTTTTTTCTCTTCTTGTGTTTAAATCAAAAGAAGTGGACGAAGTTTGTAGAACAATCCAGCAGAACATTCTCAGATGACAGTAATCTATGCAGCCAACTAATGTAGACTTGTATATTGCATTGTAAATATTAAACTAGCAAAGTTTTCAAAAGAAATTTCATTTTCTGCAAACAAGTGTTTGTTCAAATTCGAAGCCATGAGGTACAACCAGATTCTATCTGTAATTTGTTAAGTCCATGAAGCGATAGAAGTGAGTAGTTAGTCCAAAAGCCATTTGTTAGAACTGTATACCAAATTGGAGACAAGACAACTAAACTTTTGTTAGATCTGCTGTCCACGTCTTTCACTTCTCACAAGGCATCTTTTCAGAAATTCATAAAGCGACAACAAACTCTCTAACTCGTCAAAGAAAGAAGAAATAAAAAATCTGTGGCTGCTACATTAAAAATCACTGTAATGCAGAACAACAGAGCAGCATTATCGTACCAAAGACCTAAAAATGACGAGGGTGAAGCGCAAGCCTTTTCACATAACTAAATACAGGGATGAGGGGATTACTATAAGTTGTAATAAGAACTACATATTGTTACATGCAAGGTGCACAACATGCCGCTAGAAAAACTGTGTTTCAGTCACATGTTACTCATTACAAGGTGTCAAATAATCCTCAAGTGGATGGGGCAGTAAAAATACACTTGAACATAGAAAGATAGTACGAGGGGTGCCGGGATAAGTTGCCACGCCGCGAAAAGGAGCCACTATCGAGTGGCTTGTTGGTCTGCCAGCTGCTCATGTTCTCATATTCCTCCATGCAGATTGCTACATGTGATGATGACAAAATTTATAATTTGAGGAAACTCATCACAGAATGCATACTCATGAGGTGCAATTTGGATCATGAAAAGGACAATCTGTTGGCTGGCAACAGATTGGAGGAAACTATGGCTAAGATTCGGGGGCCTTTCGAGCATACACCAGCACCATAACAAAATCCTTTGCTGAGGATCCAATAGTCGCCGGAATTCGTTCCGATGTTGATGCTGTTTGTAGCCAGAGATCAACTAAGTTATAGAGCTGCAGAGTGGGAACCACTGGTCGTCCCATACATTTTATCTCGACCTGCAAGTATATATCAATGACACCAAACTTTGGTGAGAGGTACACAATGGAAATGATGATTTGCTTAAAGGGTCTTTGAATTTTTTTTTCCAAGATGAATTACCTTAGATTGGTTCCGGATTAATTAAAATTTTCTATGAGGGAAGTAAGAAAGACAAATAGCACAAGATTGACAACTAATCAATGAGGGATTTGTGCAGTTTTGTGCGTTAAGAGCATTTATATTGAACTAGATATTGACTTTTTATATAATGCAAGGATGTGAATACTCACCTCAGATTCACCAGTTAGATCTAATTTCATCATCAGGTACTTTTGGATAAATGAAACAGGTAAATTTCCATTCCTGTGACAAAGGAGATAAATATGACATCAGACATCTAGAGAATTTAACGGAAATTAATTCACCACCTCCAACTCCAAGTTTCGTGAAAGAAAAGTTGCATTGGTTATGGAAGCAAACATTTGTTGAAGGAAACAGTTCATTTTAAGTTATCCAAAAAAAAAAAAGGAAAAAAAAATAATTCTAATATATCAAAACAACATTGATCCAGTAACGAGCAAAAACAAAGTAAGCATGTTAGCACGTCTTTTAAATTCATGAACATCTCGTTGCAGTTGAAATCTAGCAGACAACAGAAGATTCATTTGATAGTGTCAGTCTAACATCCACTTAACTACTAATGGGAGAGACGATTAAAACATAGATACAGCACCAAACTTTCCGCTGAATATCATAACTGTTATCTGTTATTTATTGCTTAATGATCATTAATAACAAGTTTGACCTGAAAATGGGATATTATTATACAGAAAGAACAATCAACTGTGCATGGAAAGTTCTGCTTAAAAAAAAAAAATCCTATGCATCAGGAAAGAGGAATCTTTATAATAGAAGCTTGAATTTGATTTCAGTTTCTACGACAAGGCAGAGACCATATTGGTAATAAAACCAATGACCTGCTGCTATAGCTTTGGGAGAGAGCAGAGAGGTTTCTTGGTCGTTGGTCTTCATGTTACTTTCTCAGAAGACACAACATTAGAAATTTAGAGAGTGATAGCCCTTATTCCAGATGAAAATTACATATAAGGTCTTTGTCGGAATCTCAAAGAATGCGGACTTGATGAAAATTTCAAATAGATATTAATTTAATTGTAAAGATTTTCCAGCATAAGGAGGTTAAAGAACTCCTAACTGGAGAATGAAAACGAATCATCAAATCTTGTAACATTCATGACAAACTAATACTTAGATTATATAGACTCGTTGAAATGCTCAATATACCTGAAATTATATTTAGAATAAAAGATTTTAATTGATGAATTCTAACTGCACAAAAAGAACTCACTGAGGAAGTCAATGAATTAGGCGCATTACTCACTTTATTCTCAAGTAGTTCGCTGGAATTTGAGGCAAAGGTGCACTTCCTCCCCTGAAACCATGGTTTGAAATTAGCGTACAACGAACAATATTACTCCTTTTCAAGTAAATATGGTAAAGTATAACAAAAGATTAAACTAAAATAATATGTTTCTCACTGGTCTTTAGAAGCTACAAGGGAAAACCAGATTGGGCCAATTCTTCTGTCATGCTTGCCACTAGCAGCATCCAGCACAGCTTGAGGTGAAATCCTTGATTCACCAAAAGCAGCTTCTCTTTTCCGGCGGACCCTGCGCAATTTTTTGGGTTGCGCGGGTTCTGACGAGACAGGATCAATATTCTTTTCATCCTCAACCTTCGACTTCCGTTTATTTTCCTTCATTTTTGGTCTGCGCAATTGATGTTCATTGTCAGCATCTTGTGTAGGTTCGACCTTATTATCAGACCCTTGTGAATTGGACTTTAAAGACTTGGTCCTATTTGCCACTTCCACCAAACAATTCAAAGGTTTCCATAGGTCTGTTTTTCCTTCCCAGTGTTCAGCACCATTCTCAGTTTCTTTATTAGTACTTGGTTTTGCTTGGCTAGGCTCGGCAGGGAAAGTACTCTGCACAATTCAAAAATGAGAAAGACATTAGTAAGTTGAATCAAATTTCTTTAAAATTGTAATAAAGAAATGCAAATCTGCGACCAAGAAGATTGCCAATGAAAACAAAATGTAAAAGAAAATGATGCCCTTCTTTACCTGCCTAGTATTCTGAGAGAACTTATTTGAATTCTCAGGTGAACTTGAGCTCTCTGGATGCTCATCCGCAGAATCGTCTTCTTCTTTCTTAATGTGCTTTTCAATCGCAAAACTGGAGCCTCGTAAAGCAGAAGCCTTTCTAGCGACTGCTTTCGTTCTTCTCCCAGTCATGGTGGCATGGGCAGATACTCTTGGAGTGCTGACAACCAGTGAGGAGAGTGATCTTTCCTTTCTTCTCACTGGTAGTGTAACTGCCGCCACAACTTCAGGTGCGTTAACTTTTCTTCCTTTAATAGGAAAAACTTTTGCTCTAAGATCTTGCACATTGTGGTCCGGCCTAATAAGCAAATCAACAAAATAATACCTCAATACACAAACTTATGAACAAAAATCTCATTTTTACTCATTTGTATGGTCAATCTTCATAACGAGTGTGCATTATTGCCAAATTAGCTCATTTTCATCAGAAGCGTGCAAGTAATGAACACTAGAATTAGGTGGCAACATTAAGCTTATCTTACCATGATACTCGAAATAGGCACCTTCTCTTCATTTTACATCAGCATAGTCAATTACTAAACTACTAATTACTATGATTACACATGTTAAACCTTATATGTATATTATGTTGGCTATTTAAGCTCATAAAAATCACAGTGAGACAAAGGGGCAACTTGAAGGTGGTTCTGATCAGCTAATAGAGAGGACCTGACCTCAATTTCTCTAATGGAACGCAACCCAGATCGATATTGCATATCGGGCAGTTCTCTAATTCATCATCAGAGATCTTATCGTAAATGCATTTCCTGCAAACTGAATGGAGTGTAAAAACACAAGTATGAGAATTATAGTGTCAACCGAGTGAAGAAACTTAAAAAGGTGCTTTGGAGTGGGAAGTTTCAAAGATGTCAGATTTTCAAGAGAAACGGGAATCAAAACAATAAATAAGCGAGAATTTAGATATTGAACATAAAAATTCTTCTCCAAGCAACAATATTAACAAGGAAAAAACTATTGAAAAAAAAAATCGTTAGTCTCCTGGAAAAAAAAAAAAGAAAAAGAAAAAAAAATAACAACAACAACAAAGTTATGCTTTAGCTCATCTTCATCAACTATACAATCATTGGTCCATGGCTTGCTAGTAGACGAGCACAGGCAAATAGTGTTCAATTTCAAACCCATGGGAGTCTAAGCAAAAACAGATTTTGATGCAATGGTTCTAACTAATCTAAAGCAAACCAAATAAAAAACCAAACTTCATCACTACAAGTCAAACTTTCCAAACTATTATCACCAAAAACTGAAAAGAGATTCAGCCACCCCAACTCGATTAACTTCTCTACCTCCAACTATAGCAACCAAAAAAAAACAAAAAACAAAAAAAAGACATTTCATCAAATACGAAAATACCAAATACCCATGTCCCAAAGATACAATTATAACACGCCCGTACACACGAAATACAGGTCAAACCAAAAGAAACCCAGATAAGAAAACGAACAATAACAACAACCCAAATCCCAAAAAACAAAACACAAAAAAAAATTGAAGAATTAATTAAGAACCTTTGGTGAAACAGAAGAGAGAGAAAGAGAGAGAATAGCGTTTGACTGACACGTATGGAGGCATTCGGATATGGTGGTGGCGTCTCTGAAGAGTTTATGACAGAGAGGGCAAGTCATGCATGCCTCGATCGTTTCCCTCCTCACCTTCACCACCTGATTCGCCATTACGAAAACTTGTCTCTGACGCACGTGTCCAATCCAATCACTGCATGTTAAATAAATTTAATACAGACATTATTAACGCCAAAATTTTTACGTCCATTATTAATTTCCTCGGCTTCACCTGCATTAAACCAGGATTTCAGAAACAACCAAACATCGACAAGAAAAAAATAAGATAACGTGAGAGAAATCAAATCTTACGGGGAATTTGGAATGCGTGCAAAGAGAGGTCAGAAATAAGTCTTGAGAGATTTGCAAAAGAGGTGAGATTACGAGATGGGTTTTTTTTGTTTTTCAGTGATTATGTTGAAATTTTTCGACGTGGGTTTTGGTGATTTCGACGGAGGGAGTTTTGTTTTGTGATTTGATTGATCTGAATCGAGAGCCTCTCTTCGTCGAAAAGAGCATGAACCGAGTTTCTTTTGTTGTGTTTTTTTCTTTTTTTGGTTTATATATTTATTTTTTATTTTTAAAAAGAGGAAAAAACAACATGTTGGAGTTGAACAGCTATTTAGAATCAGAGTTCAAAAGTTTTTTCAAAAAAAAAAAAAAAAATCAGAGTTCAAAAGAATTATTTTTAAAAGAAAATGAGATAAGTAATGAGGATAACTTACGTCTTGGGTGCGCATTATGATAAGATGCGCACCCCGTTTCGTAGACGCGACGGCGAGTTTTGTTTTCCGGGAGTGTATTATATTGTGTGGGCGGGTCTATGATAGTTTGGCGTGGTCCGTACGGAGACTACAGACCAATGGTACTTTTTTCTGTTTAGTGCTTTTCCCAACCGCTGCAAAATAAATGGTTGTATAAATTAGTTGGGAGGGGCTTAAACTTGACGATATGCTTTTATTTGTTAATCGTTTGAGAATTATGTGGTATCCTGTTAGTCCTCCTTTATCTTATTGATTCGATTGATTTGAATTTTAAATTTTAAATTTTTATGGTTAAAATTTTTTAAAAAATATTACATTTAATTTTTTCTGTTGCAGTTAAAAACTCTCAAAAAATACTTGTTTAGTTCGTTGATTTGAGTTTTTAATTCGAGTTGAGATGTGATTTTATGTGAGAGCTTTTTACTGTAATAAAAAAGTTAGATGTGACTGTTTCTAATAACTTTTTACTGTAACAAAACTTGAATTTTAAACTCGAATCGGTAAAATAAACGAAGTCTATATCTCAGTTCGAATTGAAAATTCGAATCCTCACGCATTAGAGACTCTGTGTTTTTTTTTTTTTGAATTTTGATATTCTGAATCGTGTTTGACCAAATTACATTGTGTTATGTTTTTAAAAAACTAACGGACCACGTTTTAAGTAATTTCTTTTCTCATGTTTTAATATTGAGCATTGTTGTTCGGCTTCGTGTGGAGCCAACTCTATATGGAGTTGAGAAGCATTCTTGTTTGATATTTGAGTTCATTTAGATAACATTTGGGACATAAAAAATTATACAGATGATATTAGTAATATATAATTCAGTGTCATAACAACATATTTACATTATATCATGTCAAAAGTAAGTATAATAATATAAATATAAATAATTTAGAATTTTTCGAATTGTGCCTATTAGGGTTTTTTTTTTTTTTTTTTTTTTTTTTTTTTTGTGTGCCTTCCCTCATAATTCTACTTATTTATTGAGAGATTCATGGTATCCGTAGGACAATTTTTACATTTTATCAAAAAAATTTAATTTTAAACCTAAGATCGAATTATGAAGGTTTATGGAAGAATATTATGTCTTATCATGTAACTTGTAATTTAAAAAGAAACAAAATGTAACTTGCACAAAATTCCTATTCGTATTACTACATAAGATAACGGCTATCGCCTAATTTTAGCAATCTAAATAGAACTATCTTATAACTCTGAAGTGGACTTGACTTGTTTACCTTGCTTTTACATTAAATTTAACAAAAAAATATTCGAATAAAAACGAAAATAAGGATAATAGGAAAAGAAAAAACCACTTAATTTGGCCGGGCAAAACACTATTGCATAATATAACTCGATAAACTCTTGAAACTACCGTCGAATTCCTTTGACTTTAACTTGAAAACAACCAAACCCACGCCATTAGAAATAATCACCTTAATAATTAAACACCGGAAAAATCAAAAGTTGACTAACAATGGTTTTAACTATTATTGTCCATTGCTTGTGCCTTGTAGGAACACGCGGTTCACGTGGAAGAAAAATTCTACCTAAATTAACATTAAATAAAACTTTTTTTATTAATTATTATTTTGGCTGCATAGAAAGAAGAGGCCGGAGCTTGGTAGAGAGAAAAAGACCAAAAAGGGCCTAAATGTGAGAGAAATATTAATTATTGAAGGAAGCGAGTAATTATTATTAAAATTTGTTTAGAGTTGAGGAAGTCAAAAAAGCATGACTCATAAGTGGTTTGTTGAAAAGTAAGGCATCTAATCTAAACTCTGACGTGGATTTTTTGGACCGAACAACGGAGTCCGTGTGGGACCCACCGCCTACATGCCTATATGTATTTTCAGGGTTCAGCTCATAATATTGGAAAGGGCAAAAAAAAAAAATAAAAAAATATATATATATATATACACACAGACGTTCACAAGCCCCCAGTCCCCTATATCGTAAAATATTTTGCCCATTATTATTAGTTTTTCTTTTCCGTGTAATAAAAATATTATTTATTGTTTTTTGAACATATTTGCGTGCCCCTTATTTATTTTATGAGACGTTTGGTTCATAGATTAAAATTATTTTTAATTTATGTATATTTTTTTAAGAGAAAATACTATAATAAATTATGAATCATGATTCAAATCTGAGTACGAATCTCCTAACCAAATAACCCCTTAATATCACTTTTTTTTTGTTTTACAATGAGTCGTGCACGGAATCCCATTCATCACAAGTAAAATAACACCGTAACGCGCGAAAGTTTAAAACTTATATAAGAATTTTTTCTTGGTTACTTTCTTTATTTTCCTCATTAATTTATGCTTGTTTAAGTCTATCTTATGAGGACGAAGCTCGAAATAATAAGGATTCATTTAGTTCGTTGACTCAAATTTTTAATTTAAATTGAGATGTAACTTTATGTGATAAATTTTTATTGTAATAAAAAAATTATATGTGATTATTTTTAAAATTTTTTTATTGTAATAAAACACGAATTTTAAACTCAAATATAAAATGAATGGAGTCAACCCGTTCAGTTTGTTGATTCGAGTTTTTAATTCGAGTTGAGATGTGACTTTATGTGAAAGTTTTTTACTATAGTAAAAAAATTAGATTTGATTGTTTCTGAGAGTTTTTTACTGTAATAAAATTTAAATTCTAAATTTGAATCGGCGAAATAAACATGACGTGTATATCAAAAAGCCCACTAAAAGCCCACTATGGAGGTCGATATCAACTACAAACTGTGAGGTCTACGTGTAAATTTTTCAGCCAAAAAAAAAACTTGCTGGTAAAAAAAAATCCTCAAGAAAGAAAGAAAGAACACGTGTACTGTAAAGAAAATTGGCGATGGTATCTACTCAACTACCCTAATAGCTAATATGCAATCATTGAAATCATCATTACAGCTGAAGATATTACTAAAAATCCACTTGGCGTCATTTTCTTCAAAGGAAACACGAAATGCATTATCATTTCTGAATAATATCGTTTATACGGCGTCTTGTGATACGAATGAAATGAAACGAGTCAATTTCCAAAAACAAAAAAAAAGAGTCCGTACTTTAGCGGAAAAAAAAAATCAACTGTTTTCTTACTTGTATTTTTTATATACGTTTTCTTACTTGTTTTTCTATTATTCAGAAAATTTCATATTATTGTTATTCAAGCAGAAAAATACGTATAACTTTTCTCCAGTGTTGTTTACTACATGAAAAACGACATGTCAGTTATTGTCGTTTTCTCCTCAAGGTGACATGTCGGTTACTCGGTTTTTTTAAATATATTAGATGTCGTTTTCGCCAAAGAGCGAACCACACGGCCATTTCTAACACTTTGAAAAAGTCAGTTCATTTTCTCCTTTTCCTTTTTATTTTTTTATTTTTTTTTTGACAAGTGAAACGACAGGTGGCTTCCCTTGAGTGCGAGAACGACATGTCGTTTTATACTTTTCTTCAAATGCCATTTCAGAGTAAAACAAGATGAGCTTTCTCAGTGGACCATGATCTAGCAGATAATAGTTCATTATCATATTTAAATTAACTAACTTACAATATTCAACAAACAATAACACACATATATATAATATTTTCCTTCGAGTTTATTCAAGATCCAAGAAGGCCTCTGTGCCGAGCATACGAAATTAGTGATAGAAGAAGGGAGCCGCATAGTATTCCGGAGAGGATGACCACCTAATGTTTCAGAAAAATAAGAGGAATAATTCAAAACTACTAAAATTTTATATAGTTTCATCTATTATCTAAGAATATTTTAAAGAAAAAATATCGTTTTGAATCCCGTAGTTTAGCATTTTAATAAATGGATATCCTCGTGGTAAAAAAAATCCTATTGGAGTACTCTGTTATTTTGACAAAATATCATCTTGAGTGCTCTCTTTTTTTTTTTTTTTAGTGGGATGACATTTCAGGCTTTCAATTTAAAAATTCCATTTTTTGGATATGATTTTTTTGTCTTTTTTTTTTAATTTTTTTTCAAAAAATTATTTCATGACTAAAGTGCATAGAAGATTATCGAAACACTAGAGGTACCAATATGATGGTGTGTTGTAGTACCAAAATGATATTTTCCCAATCTAATTAAGGTCTATTTTCTCTATTCATATCTGGAGTACTGATAAGATGATTCAATATTCTATGCCATACCCATTTAAAGACGTAGCCATGACCTTCCTTCCAAGTATAATGGATGTTCATGCCAAATATGGCAGCCACCAGAGAATACACAGACAAACAAACAGTTCCAGAACATAGGAAAAGCTCTAACTGCACACAGTTAATTAAGCACATGCCATTATGGTTATACAAAAAGAGATTAAGAATACAATTGTGTCTAAAGAAAATTACCTGAATAAGCTGATTTCGGTGATTGTCAAGCTGCGATATAATTAAAACACGGATCAAGTTATAGACATTAATATAAAGATTCTTATGATTATGTTTAATCACTTACCTGGATGTTTATGTAATCTTCCGTGTCATCTATGTATTCACGTAGCTATATAAGAAGAGAGTGAAATAACATAATTATAAATATCTCATTTTCTTGCAAATTCAACAAATATTTGTTCATCCAAGAAACGAAGAAATTAGCATACAAAAACTGTTCATACCGTGGTCAATTTGTTAAGCGTTCCATCAATTTGCATAAAGTAAGCCTGTAAAAAGATAAAGAGTGGTTTTGGTTGGGACAATTTTATTATACACACATTTTTAGCATAACAAGACTTGTAATTTTAGCATCAATGCAAAAGAATTAACTATGTAATAACCTCAAGCAACATTTCAAGCTCTTCAATGTCATTCTCTGGTTGAACAGTTACAGTGCTTGTCCGACTTGTTCTGGATGTCTTTGAGCCTATGGTTGGGGAGCTGAAAAACCAATTCGGAGCACCGTGGCTACTCACAGGCGAAGATGTCGCGGCCAATTTTCTTGATAAGTAAAGGTCCGCCATGTCATCGTCATCATCAAGAAGTTGTTCTAGTTCATCTCTTACCTGGAATGAAAGCATTTAAGAGGAGAATGTAAACGTAATTCCCATATTGAGAATAAACCACTACTTATTGTTTATTTTTTGTTATTGTTTTTATTGCTCTCGGAGAGTCCAAATTAGGATTTATAATGCTCAACATATTTTTCAAGTTCTATCATTCGATTACAGTTTCCTATACAAAAATGGTGTTTCTCCTGTTTCATGAACTGATAATCTACCTATATTCATTTGCAACTCCTAGAAGAATTGCCCAAAAAATACGAGTCATGAGACCACTATTTAGATCAAGTAAAAAGTATATCCAAGTCTGCCATGTCATTGAAAGAAACAAAAAGCTTCATACTTCTCTCAATTTGAGTTCATGCTTCTTGAACCAATATATCACCATGTCCAATATTTACCTTTTGAACCCGATTTGTCAACCTTGTCATCGCACTTTTTAGTTTGCGCACTCGATCCAAATTACGGCTGCTAATCTGCACACAATTATAAATAATTCATGTAGAAGATTAGCATAAGCAAGTCTTTAAGATATTGTTGCATGCATCACTTAATAGAGCATATCTCTGTGTGACCACAACAAATACCACTAATAAACAAGCACATTTCAGCTTCATGAGCGTTAATTTTGTTTCCATCTACCAAACAAATTCCTCACAAAAACAAGTTCGGCTGAAAAAATAGCTAAACAACAAAGCCGTTGTTACCTTGGCCGTGAGTTCATCCAAAGCTGGATAAGCATCGGCTTCCAATTCTCTTGTGCGGGCATCAAGATAACTACAAATACCTTCTAATGTCACTTCCAAGGCCCGGAATTCAAATGGGAATTCTGTAAAACCAATTAAAATATTTTTATTAACCGATGTGTTTGACATGTCAGTTACTAATAATCAGTCCGTTATACGTCTTACAAATAATGTTATCCTTCATGATTCATCTGAATACCAAAATCAACCATAATTCTGTTCCAACTACCATTTTCTTCGCCGGTTTCGGCATCGTCTCGTGCCCCTGTAGGTTGTTCTTCTTCTTCCCCTGGGCCTTTGAAGCTGGCACTTGCCAAAGCTAACCTTCTTTGGAGTTCTTCCACAATAGGGATTACGTTGTCGTCCAATGGATCTCTAAGCAACACCTACACAAAAAATGGTCCTTCAAAGTTGAGTTAAAATTCAAGTAAAAACAGTAATATACTTCCGAGATTAATGATCTTCCCAAAAACTCAACGTAGTATGATAATCAAGTGAAAACTTAAAAAAATAATAATAATAATAAAAAAAGCTATCTTTTTCTTGGACTCAAAAAGAAAAACAGAAAAGCAAAAATGGGACAAACAAAAACTTGCCTCCTCTGCAGTGATAATTGCTTTAATGTGCTGGAAGCCAATACAAAAAGGCAACAAAAAACAAAACCAAAACCATATATTATCAGCACTAGAAATAATTATCAATAATGGGGCGGAAAAAATTATTAAAAAAAGGCTCATGAGAAAATGAAAAACGCAAAATTGACCTCCAAGTTAAGAACAATAACTTTTTCTCTGCCTAAGATGGTAGAAGGATATGACAACAGGGGATCCAAAATCCGAAGATCTCTAGCATGAATATGAATCCGTCGCATAATGGCATGCTTATCAACATCCAAGATGGCTCCTTCCCCAGTTTGGTTCAGCAAAATCCAGCTTCTAGAAACCGCCGTTTTCTTCTTCAGAGAAGCCTGAGTCTCCACCGGTACTAACACCCCATCTCTATCCATTTTCCGACCACTAACTATAGCATCTTCATCAGCAAAAAATCAAATCTTTAAGCCAAACGATTACTAAATGCGAGTAACTTCGTACGTTAGCTATAAACATTTACCGTGAAGGTCGATCCGCAGATTCCTCGACAGTAAATCGTCAGGGCATAATTAGGTTCCGCAACTTAACATGGGGTGTGTTACAGAGCTGTGTCGGTTCGGAATTTGGTTGTGGGAAAGAGAAAGAGAGAAGAAGGTGAAGAGGTAAAAATTTGGAAGATGGTTTTTTTTTTTTTTTTTTTTTTTTGTCGGGATATTTGCATGGATTGAGTGGCAGCCAGTGGCAGTGTATGTGAGTTAAAAAGGCGTTCGTTAATTCGAGTTGATATGTGATTTTATATGAGAATTTTTTACTGTAGTAAAAAAATTAATTATAACTGTTTTTAAATTTTTTTTATTATAATAAAACTTAAATTATAAACTTAATCAATGAAATCAACAATACTTAAATTTAATACGGGGACTTAAATTTGGTGGGGAATGGGGTTTGAAACTGATGTTTCATCGTTAGCTTAAATTTAATCATGAAATAAATATTATAAATAAATCAATGAGAAGCACAACGACAAGGCACACGGGTGTGAGAATGTTAGTACTTCTCCCACGTAACTACGCGTGACATAGGCTAGCAGTTACGGACCATGGTTCACAATCGTAAATTTGGAAAAACAGGAGAATAAAATTGATGCGTTTCTTTTCTTTTACTTTTAAGGTTATTTTCATGAATGGCCCCCGAATTTTACGTTGAATTGCAACTTGACTCTTGATTTTCGATTTCAGAGTAATTTTTGTTATGTCATTAGCTCCTCCATTTGTACTCTAAAAATTAGATGAAAACAGAACATGTGACTCTCTATGTGAAGGTTAATTTAAAATAATTATTTTTAGCGTAATTTGTATTGCTGATCGCTTAACTCTTTAATAATGATATTTTAGTCTTTTTCTTTTCAATTTTTACGAAACGATACGGCTATTGGATGATTGCAAACTGGGTCACGCAAAGGAGAACTGCCATGGGTGGGCCTTGTGGAGCATATTTGTCGTGTGTCATGATAGGCGGCATGTGTCGTGACTCATGGATGGACGAGCATGCGGAGGAGATCCGCTATGAATGGACTTGAGGGGGAGATTCACGGTTGATGGGTTGTCTCATAGGAGCTCTGCATTTATAAAACGTGCATTAGTTTTTTTATTTATTTATTTTTCTTTCTAATGACAAAAAGATAATAAGTGCGTTTAGAACTCATTTTAAAATAATTTTATTTTTTATATGAAAATGAAAATAAAAACATTTTCAATCTCAGACAAAAATTATATTTGAAAATACGTTTGATAGTTTTATTAAGAGATTATTTTTAGTGTAAAAAAACCCATTAATGTCTCTCTTTCTCTCTCTCTGCTCGAGAGAGGAGAAAACGAAAACAAAAAATGATGTGCCTATTTGGAATCATTTCCAAAAACGTTTTTCACATTTTTAAAGAACTAAAAAATGAAAATGCCCTCACAAATGCTTTTGGCACTGCATCTCCGATTTCCCATTTTCATTTTCCCCCTCCTCTCCCGCCTCGACCTCGCTGGCCCTAACCACCTCCCTCCTCATCCGACTCCGCCGCCGCCCCTTCCTCCACCTCACCAGAGTCCGAACCCTGGACGACGACTTCTTCTCTGGTGACAACGACAACGATCGCAGCCTCTTCGGCTCCGGATCGAAAAATTCTAGAAATTCCTCCGAAATACACCCATTTTTTCTGTAGTAGCATAACACACGCACCACTAGTTTTCACTTATATAATGTTTATTTAATATATTATTATTTAATATATTTAATATATTATTATTTAATTTATTTAATATATTATTATTTTAAATATTATTACATGTTTTTAAAAATTAAACCACCAAACACAATTTCAGTTTCTTTAAAACTGAAAACAATCTCGGAATAAAACTACCAAACGCATTTTTAGAAATAATTCCAAAATGAAAATGAAAACGTTTTCGTTTTCATTTTCATACAGAAAATAAAATCATTTTGGAATTAGTTCCAAACGCACCCGATTTCTCTCTCATTTTACACTAAACCAAAAAATCATTTTCATTTCTCTTTTTTTGTCTTTATTGCGCCAAACGCCGTTTTGAAAACGTTTTCATTTTTTCTTTCTCAAAAAACGTAAAAAATAAAAACGGAATCAATTCCAAACACAATCAATGATTTTAAACTCACCCCACGAGATGGTCATGACTTATGACTCGTGTTCTATTTCAGTTTTTTTTTTTTGACACATTTCAAAATAAGGGACCAATGTTGTAACAACTGCAATGTTTGGGATAGCATGTAGTGTAAAATAAAAAATAAAAAATCAAGAGTTTGAGTACAATTGGGATTTTATTTGTGAAAATAATCGTTTTCTAAAAAGAACTTGTGGACTTTTTTTTTTTTTTTAACCCTGAAAATAAATGGAATCGTGTATAAGAGTGCGGATGTACTAATTAAAGGCATCTACGAAATCTGCATACAGCATTTTTGAAAAAGGAAAAAAATAGATACAACGAGAACACCGAGGAACAAACGACAACAATACATAACCGAAACAAAAAGCGGGCATCAAAAGAAATAACAAAAAATAAAACAGAAGAGTTCCAAATTATTTTAAATTAAAACTTGAAAAAAACAGAAAATTTCATTTTAGTTATTGACATTTGAATTTGATATCTTGTTTTAAAAAATTTCATGCTGGTACCTCAACCTTTTAGAAAATCTCTTTTTGATACCTTGGAGTTATTTTTTAAGACAGAAAAAGACAAAATTATCTTTTTTTGTAAAAATTCATCAGTTTACCAGAATTTTAAAGAAGAAAAGAATTTTAAAAATTGTTATACCTGAGAGCATAATCCTTTTTAAATATTCATCTCTTCAAAATCTTTTTTTCTTCAAAATTCTAGTCAACTGAGGAATTTTTATAATAAAAGTAATTTTATATTTTCATGTCTCAAAAATAGTTCCGAGATACTAAAAAAAGATTTTTTAAAAGGTCGAGATACCGGGGTGAAATTTTCAAAAATAAATGACACAAACCTTAAATTTCAACATAACATAGGGTACTAAAATAAAATTTTTTCAAAAAAAATTAATAAGAGCGAAAATGAAAATAAAAATCGCGTCAAACGAAGCCTTAAAATGAAACAAGGCCGAAAAGAAAAAGGAAAAGTCATAAAACAACAATAAAAAGAGGAAACGACATCCTCAAAATAATAACAGCAGAGGGCAAACGACAATGTAGAAAAACGACGAATCACAATAAAGCAAAAACGACACCGCAAGGTGTAACAACATGACACAAGAACGACGTACAGATGATCAAATAATAATAATAATAATAAATATGAAGCTGCGATTGAATAAAAAACGACAAACCATGAAAGAAAACAATGTAAATAGGAAAACTAACTCACTTAAACGACAACAAATAGACAAATGACGTGGTAGAATTTTTTTGGAAACTAAGGGCATGTTATTTTGTCCAAAAAATTTAAAAAAAGACAACTCAAGTTTCAATTTTATTTAAGTTAACGTTCTTTTAAGTTTTAACTTTATTCAATTTTACTCAACGTTATTCAATTTTACTCAACTTTATTCAAGTTCTAACTTCAACTTAAGTTATAACTCAAATTCAACTCAAAAACTACACTCAAGTTACACTTCAAAAGAACAACCCCTAAAATTTTAAACGGTTATAATTTGATTGATTAAATGCTAATTGAGACACTAAAAACTAAACAAGTAATTTGAGTCCTAAGTCATCAGAGCTATGCCTATGCCACAAATACCAGAAAACTATATACCAAGGCTAAACCCAAACGGGAAAAAGAAAATATAATAAGCTAGGGGTTTGGGAATCAAAAGGCTTGAAGGGTTACGGAGACCTACAGTTGGGGAAAGATTATTTATATGTTGTGGTGATCACGATGCATATCATAATATTAATACGTTGCTAAGCCACTTGACACTATAAATATACATGTATATATAAAACTTTTCTTCGGTTTGTCTAATGAAAATGCCTCCGACGTAACACGTAATTATAAAAATCGTAACATAATAATTATTAAATGTAACATTAACTTTAACTAGAGAGAAGTAATACTAAAGAATTTAGTAATATAAAACTGTATTACACCTCTTTAAGGTCAATATTACGTTCATAATTAATTATCATGTTACGTTTTTCATATTTACATGTTACAGTGGAGAGTTATCTTTCTAGAGAGACTATAGAATATATATATATATATATTGAAAACTATATGTTGCAAGTAATACGCTATTGTTATTTTTTGATGAGATATTCGTTTTGTAAATATTGCGAGTCAAACGTTCTCTAATCGACTCCATTAGCGTAAGAGTGATTTTTACCAAACTTAAAGACATAAACAAACTCGAGAATGGACATCATGGATGCTGCTTCTTCTTCTTCTTCATCATCTCTCTCTCTCTCTCTCTCTCTTCTTTTTTGGTGAGCTATGTTGCTTCGGTGTTGACTTTAGTTGATTGGATTATTGGATTAGAGAGATTGGCAAATTCACTCGATACGATACATAAGCAAATTATGATATTCTAATCTAGTGATAAATGTGGTTCACCGACACCAATAAAATTAGAAAAGTATACGATTCACATGAGTTAGCTTCAGATTGGTGAGGTTCGACAACTTTACCTTTTAATTCATTTAATGCATGCAAGAGTCTCGCCGTAACTTGAGATCTACTCCCCAACAGCACACTGTCACGCTATAGGCTCCAGAATTATTCTAAATTTGTCACTTTATGTTCTGCCCAAAAAAAAAAAAAAAAAAGAGTTGTCCCTTCAATATTAGGAATTCTGGATGTTCATAACATCGTAAGAGATTTTATGGGTCAGCCTTTTTTTTAGGGTGAAAGACAGAAATAAGTTAAAATTTAAGATGAATTAAAATTAATATGTCAATAGTTTACATAAGTTAATAAATAAATTAAATTACTGTTTTCATCTATAACTTGTCTGGTTACGAACCATAACTTGACAAGTTATTCTCAGTTTTTATCCATAACTTATCTGACTATGAACCATAACTTGACAAGTTTGTCCATAATTTATCTGGTTATAAACCATAACTTAATAAATTATGACCTATTAGGCCTCGTTCACTTCACGGATTCGAGTTTTTAATTCGAGCTGAGATGTGACATTTTTTTAGAGATTTTCACTGTAACAAAAAAAGTTAGATGTGACATTTTCTGAGAGTTTTTTACTGTAGAAATCTAAAACTGAAAACAAAAATCGATAAAATGAATGAGACTTTAATTTTATAACTAAAAATTGATCTCTATACTTTTTTAAACCATCGGTCTATTTTCTACTATTTCTTTAATAGCAGATCAATTTATGAGTTAGTTACAAACTTTACGAGGTATGGTTGAGTTTGGTTTACGAAAATATTTTATTAATTTCTCACAAGAAAAAAAGAAGAAAAATATCATTACTCAGCATGATTTTTTTTTTTTTTAAAAAAGAGAGAAAATAAAGAGGGATGATGACATGCGGAAACGTGTTTAAGTCTGATAGGTGGGCCCCAAAAATGATGATCTGCCTAGTGATTATCAATCATCAAAGGACGACTATCATCTCACTTCAGCATCCGTGTCCCGCCACCGTGTCCCTATGGCATCTCGGGGTCCCAAATATCAAGGCAAACCCCAAAAGTATATAAATCCAATTAAAAAAAAGCCATTAAATTCGCTCACTAAAAAAAGAAAAGAACAGAAAAAACAAAGAGCGAGAAAAACCACCTCCCTCTTACACACAGAACATGGCCGATGAGCCGATCCCTATCTCTCTCTTTTCTTTCTCTCTCCTTCTCTGAAAACGCGAAGTACGAACGGGAATATCTGAAACCCTATCTTTTTTTCCTCCTTTTCGGTTGCTTGTAATCGAAGCATAGAATTCGCTTTGATCTGACAAGTCCGTGAGATGTGTTTTGAGTTTCTCGTCCACGCCAGGAGAACGTCGAGCGAGTGCGATTCTCGTTTGCAGTTGACATTCATTCATTGATGAAGCAGTTTAGACGATGCCAGAGGATCCTGATCCTCTCTCTTCTTTCTCTCTCTGTTTTAGCTCCAATAGTTTTCGTCTCACATAAGCTTAAGAATCTCAGTTCCATTGGTATGTTTTGTCAATATCATATCCACATTTGCGCATTTGATTATGTATTGATTTCGTACTTTTTTTTATGTGTATATATGTATTGATATATTGATTTGTGCATTTTTCACTTTTTTTTTTATTCAGGTCGGAAAGAGTTTGTAGAGGATTTATCGACGATCGTATGAATCTTGCTCTTCGGATCTCTGTTTTATCATTTTAATGCTTATACTTCTTGTTCTTCTTCTTTTTTTTTTTTTTTTTTTTGCTGAGATTATAGTCTATTCGGTTGAGGATTGATCGAAAGTGGAAAATTAAATTTTCGAATCTCCAACTGTTGTTTTTAGTGGGCGGCAAATTTATGTCTCTGTTTGAACGTGGAAAACTTGTTGTATTTGGCTATTTGCTATATTGATATCGACTTATCGCAATTTAAGGTTTTTCAGTTTTAGTCTTTTAGCAAGGTGAAAAGAGTGTATATTTATTTAATAGTTGATGTCTTTTCATTTCTATTATTCCTCCATTCCCCCCCCCCCCCTCTTTATAACTAGTGGAGATTTCTAAGTGTAACTTATTTGGTGCAGAAATATAGGAGAGATGATTTAAGACTTGAAGCTATTCAACAGGTTCTTTTCTAAATAGTTACTGGCTGTTTTTCAACATTATTTCTTTCTTTGTTCTAAATTTTACGCAATTGAAACTTGATAATTGATATGCTTTTTGATTCAGGAAACAGGCGAAGGCTTGAAAGAGCCACGGCTAATTGTTTTTAAAGATAGGGATCTGAATTCTGCAATTAGTTCTAATTCATCCGGAGAGATTCGTGATTCGAAGATTTCTGGAATTGGAGAGAGGACAAATGGTTTGGAAAGTAGTGGAAATGGTTCGTACAGCCAGGTGCACATGTTTTGTTTTGTTTTGTTTTTTTCTTTTATACTTTGGCACTTTATCATTTTGGTGACTCTTGAGTCTGCTTTATTCATATATCAGGAAGAGGGACAAATCATGAGAGTGAAGCAGGAGATGAGCTATTTCAGCAGAAAGAAACAGTGCCCATATCAAGAGAAAAGGTTTGCATTTAGATTTTATATATTTAGTGCTAAACAGACTTATTCAGGATGCGAGAATTTCAAACAAGGCTCAGATTTCTCAACTGGAGATTTGTGCTCTGTAATTTCAGAGTGCAAGTTAAGCCTCTTTGAAATTAGTTGGCCTTATTTGGTTATTTGATTTGCTATTTTTTTGTTGTCAACTTCCTTTATTTGGAGAGAAATCAAAAGGGCATCCTGAAAATTTTGTTGTTGAAGAACGTAAGTGGGCTATCATCACGGTCTTAAACCCTAGTATTTAGTAGATGCGTAGAAAATAATCAAATATTAATCTAAAATCACAAAGTTAGGGTAATTGACAATAGCAAATATAAAGTAATCAAAAGCCATTTAACTAGAAGTTTTTAGCCACTGTGAGTGGAAAAAGTAAGAATACTGGGGTTCTTGCAGTCTATATTCCTGATAGGCACTCAACGATCTGCCACCAATTCATATCACTTCTCTGATTTGCTTTCACGTTTACAGGAAAAAGGTAAAAGATCATGATATGCACCCAGAAAAACGAGTGATTTCAAAGATTGTGGGTTTTTTTTTTTTCCTTTTGGGTCATGATCACGGCTTTGATGTATATATAATTCAGTGTGGTTTTAAGGAAGGCTAGCATCCATACTATTATGCAAATGAAGAAACTTACCCTACCCACTTCAATCTACTTATCAACATTTATGGTGTTGGGTGCAGGAACAATTTATTCTGACAGTCAAAGATGATCAGAGTGTACTCTCTCAGTTGCATAAGGTTTCACTAGAAAAGAATAAAGAGACTCTAGACGTGCAAAACCGACACGATAGAAATGTACGTCCTCAGTCGCAAAGAGTGACAGATGAGAAGATAAGAGAGATGAAAGATCAACTGATAAGAGGCAAAGCATATTTGAGTTTTGCACCACCAGGTAGTAACTCGCACTTAGTGAAGGAGTTGAGACTACGAATTAAAGAGGTGGAACGAGCAGTTGGTGAGCATACAAAAGATTCAGATTTGTCGAGGAGGTATAAACTTCTTTTATCATTTACTTTGTACTTATTTCCAGACTTCTTGAAAACAAATTATTATCCATAGATCAAAAAGATGCAAGCTTCATTATGTATCAGTGAGCGAGCGAGTTTATACAAGAAAACCATGTCCTGTCATAATTTAGGAACAAGCATCCATAATTTGTTTTAATCTAAAACCTGTGAAATTGCAGTGCTTTACAGAAGATGAGACACATGGAGTCTTCATTGTTCAAAGCCAGCCAGGTGTACCCCGACTGTTCTTCTATGGCTGCTAAGCTCCGTGCTATGGCTCACACTGCTGAAGCGCAAGTTCGATCTCAAAAGAAGCAAGCTACTTATCTTGTTCATCTTGCTGCAAGGACCACCCCGAAAGAGCTCCACTGTCTCTCCATGCGACTCACTTCAAAATACTTCACCCTGGAGCCCAATGAGAAGCGGCTTCCCAATGAACAAAAGTTACAAAATTTGTATGATCCAGAGCTGTATCATTATGTTGTCTTCTCGGACAATATCCTGGCGTCTGCCGTAGTTGTCAGCTCCGCAGTTTCCACAGCAGTGGTGATTTTCATAATTCCCATTATTTTTTCCATTGTGCTATTCAAGTTTTCCTTCTAATCTGAATCACAACTGTTGCTGCGACTACTTGAAATGACTGACTCTAGTCGGCCATGCCGTACCTTGGTATGAAATAAATGCAGGAAAATTTGATCTTTGTTTTGACGTGACACTTTGCAGGAACCGGAGAAAATCATTTTCCATGTGGTGACTGATTCGCTCAATTTTCCAGCAATCTCAATGTGGTTCCTATTGAACCCTCCCGGCAAAGCCACAATCCAGATTCAGAGCACTGACAGTTTTGATTGGTTATTCAACAAGTACAAGGCAACACTAAAGCAAAATACCAATGACCCTAGATTTACCATTCAACTCAACCACCTTCGTTATTATCTGCCAGATATCTTCCCTA